CAAAGAGAAAAAATAAATAAAATTCGCCAACGTTATTTTGGCGGTTAGAGTCGGCATATTTTATTTGGAGAAGTTTCTTATACGACCGCATTCCTCATGAAAATGTATTATTTTCAGCGGTGGACCCCTTTCTAATTCCCAACATACAACAAATTTGTCGAAAACATGCGAACATTTATTGTAGTTAAAAATAGTTCAAATCATAGTTTAACATTTAGTTAAATTTTTGAAAAAAAAATCATTTTTGTAAACTTCTACTTTTGAAAGCAAATTTTTATATTAAAAAGAGGAAATTGTGAAAAACCTTTCGGCCCCTTTTAATTCGACTATGTATGATCGGTTCTGCACAAAATATCACTAACTTTACAATTTTCAGTTTCACTCTTTTTGGCCACACGCTTTACATTGGGCGCGTTCATAAGACGTAGCTGTTTAGCTCATCTGCTACGAAACTGCTGGCAACTGTTGAACCCAACAATTACGTCTTAGAAACGGCTTGATGAATATGCTGCCAAATGAACAGCTGATAAATGTAAACAAACGAAATTGCAATAAAGAGAGATAGTTGCGCCGATAGTATTTAGAATTCAACGCTGAGCTGCCGCCGTGTTGAAAGCATCGTTCAATGTTTTAATGAATTAAACAGTGTATAATTATATAGTAAACATCTTAAAAAACATATATGTATTTAGAAACGTAGTATTATGATAAAATATTTTAGTTACTTTATCACATCAGTAATATAAAATAGAATAAATTGGTTTGCAACTGCCACCTAACAAAACGGCGTTAAATTTAAAATAAGCGGCGTAAGTATTTTCGATACGTCTGTCAGCTGTTTAGGCTAAGCCCAACACGTTGAGTTCAGGTAGCGTTAAAATTTTTCGCTGGAAAAAATTAAGGAAAGTTGCCAACTTTTGAGCTGAGCGGAACTACTCACCTGTGCGTTTAAAAAAAAAATAGCCAACGGTTAGGCAACAGCTACGTCTTATGAACGCGTCCATTGTGCGACGTTGTGTTCTACTCCAGGGTTAAAGGTTTTGCTATTGATGTGTCGAGTTTCATGTATGTAAGTATATCGAATATCATGCAATGTATGTATTTATGTACATTAACTACACAAAGAAACGTTCCATCTACACATCGACTTTCACACGACCACCACTGCCGCCACCAACTTGTCGCTCAAACGACTCTTTGCCACATAACAGGCAAGTTTTCAAGGTTTTTGATTGTAATGAATCGGTTTTACACCCACCCACTTCAAAAAATGCACGAATATTAGTTGATGATATGCTGCTTTACCACAAAAATAGCTAAGAGGAATTTTTGGCAACAACGGAATTTCTTTATGAGAAAGTGAAGATCTGCTAGGTGAATGAATGTGAGGTGGAGAACTTGCTAGCTTGAAAAGAGAAAATAGTTAAATTAGGAGTCATAAGTTTGAGAAGGGAAGTGTATAAATATTTCTGGCAAAATATTTTGGTTAAAAGTTCAGAAAAAAGTGCCACATGAATGAACTTGGCAAAGGATATGGAAAAAGTTTTCACTTTTCACATGCACAACTAGAAGCACATCAGTATGCTTGTTCATATGCAGCTACCATATGTATAATTGTGTGATTTGTATGCGAAAAGTTTGTCTAACAGGATGCAGTATCAGAGGACACTCTAAAGCAAAGGGGCTTAAAGGTTAAAGGGGCTTGCAAACTTGGCTTTTGGCGAATATTAAAATGTCCTTATTAGAATGGGAAATTAGTAGTTAAAGTAAGGAGAGTAAATGCAATAGAAGAGGTTTAGAAATAATTAAGCATACCGTCGATGTTTTTGCGAAACCGCCCATCGACTAGTGGGAAAACCGTCTAAATCGCCGTTGTGGCAAAAAAAAGAGATTTGGTAACACTGAACTCCAGACATCGAGATTTATGCATAAAAATCACAAAATCGTTATTAAAACAACATATTTGTAAAATGATAGCCAGAGAAAATACCGCCTCAAAGAAAACCCGTTTTTTCGCTCTCCTGTAAAATTTGAGTGCCATAAGATAGGCGGTTTTGCAAAAACATCGACGATATGTACATATCGCACACCTAAATCTAAAGTGAGGGGAAAATTGAACTGCTTGTGGATCGTACAGATTCAACGTAATAAATAAAAAATCAGTAAGTCCTATGAATTGATTTATGCAAAAAAAAAATCGCCCAAATTTTTTATTTTTTTTTTAGTTGATCGCTCTTTAGATCTAGATATGCGGTATGTATGTATTTAGATATAAGGTATTTTAAAAGATAAAAATTAAATTGTGGGAAACTTTGTAAGTATTTAGTGAAACTAAAAAAAAAATACATTAATTGATAAAAACTGTTTCGAAAGCTATAATAATGTTTACATATATTGGGTTTAAGGCGTGATGGAGTCAGAAACAGGTCAAACCACGAGTATTTGTTGGTTTATTAAATTAGTCCAAATGCCTTTTACGGCAGCTCATTCTGCTCAGCATATCCGTTATTGATTCTTAGTCCCAAGTGAATCCTACTTACGTCACGCGATTACATAAATGTATTGACACAGGAGTGTCCTTCAAGTGATTAAACTTTAAAATCTGCTAAAATTTTTACAACCTATTGAACTCACGGCCATTCAACCTCATATACATACATACTTACATAGATCCTTATACTTATACATACAAACCCATGTATAAAAGTATTTTATAAGCTTCTACCCTTAACTTACTAAGAAAACATACTTGATAAACTTTTCGCTAAGCTACGCCAAAGCTGCATATTGTAGTCACCTATATCTATGCGTGAATATAGGGGTTTGTACATATCGCACACCGTCTTCAAAAGAGTCAAAACTCAAAATTTGGCATTTTTGAGATTCTGCGCTAAAAATGTACACAGAGCTTTTATTTGTCTTTCAGCAAAAGCTGGAGCAAATGTTTGCTATAATTTGTTAAAAAAAAACCTAAGGTAAAGTCGCCCTTGCCCATATGATTATCATGTACTAAGAAATAATTTTCGCATTTTCTGACAAACGTATTATTTTGAATTGTGACTCTTTTGATGACGGTGTGCGATATATACCTATGTACATATGTATGTATATTGCATACAAGCATTCCCACAAATCGAAATTCAATTTAATCGATTCATTTTATTACTTCTCGTCGTGAATATTACATTTTCAAGGTGGCACATACCAATCAATGCAGCTGAGGAAGGCCTTAAATCTCTGTCACTGTCGTCAACTGTGCTGTTTTTATTTTTGGTCAACATTGCCAGCTCTGAATGGCATAAACGTATTGTACATTGGCATTATTTGTCCGTCGGTGCTTCCGTTTATTGGTTATTGTTTCGATTTTCATACTCTGCTTCTTTTTTTCTTGCTTTTCTTTTTCGACTGTGGTTTTATACTGGTGGGTCGCTGAGGTCGCTATTTTGCTGCATGCCCTGCATGACGCTGCCCAGCTATGCATTATATGCTTCGATATACGGGTGTGCAATTACATATTTGGCTAATTTATCTGTCACACATACATTTTTAATCAAAATGTGCTACTTGACATACAATATCTAAATTTAAAATTTTTGCTGTCGAACTGTTTCGAACCGAAATATTATTTTATCTCTTCAACCAACTCTTTTCCTTAAAATTAAAATGATAGGATTTGAAGAATTTTTCGGGATCTCCTTTAAGAAGAAATTTCTTTACTTGTTCGTGTCAACCACTTCATATGATTTTCTTTGAAGATTCACTAAAAAATCGGCACAAAATTCGGATACTCTTAAAAATTTTGTTAAGATTTTTGGAACTTTGGTTGGCAGGGTGTTAACGAAATTAAAAAAAAAAAAAAGAAAATCACGTACAAATTTTCTCAAAAATAGAGTAAATTAGAATTATTCCACTTCTGAAGAAATTTAAAACTTCGTATTTTTAACCGTTGCCTTTCTAAGGCCGTTTGCTGAAGTAGCGTTTAAGATTTATCGGCCCTTAAAACACAAAATTTTCTTTAAACAAATTTGTTTGAGATGCAGATCAATTTTAAAAGCTACTTGAGAACACGGCCCTAACAATATGCTTATTTGCGTATTGATAGTTTCCTGTTCGCGTACACAAAAATCCAGCAAAGTAGGGGAAATATAGAGACAAAATTGACATTTCGTTCTGATGAAAAGCTGCTAGTTTCTGCTGGAAAAATTTTTGCCAGCAGCCATTTGCCAGCAAGAAAAACAGATGATCAAAGTCATCTGTTTTCAATTTATGAAAATATGGAAATTTATTTCAGATTTAGATTTATTATTATGATTTTTAAGTTTGAAATAACTTATTATAACTGCAAATGTATTGGAAGAAAGCAAGTACTCATTTACTTATGTTTGATTAGCAAATTGCTTTAGGAAAACTTTTAATTTATATTCTTTTCATGTTTTCTGTTTTATGTTTTTCTATGTAAACAAAATTTCGATCAGCTGTACTAAAAACTTGAAAGTTTTTGCTGGTTTTTCGTTCGCGTACTTTTGCTAGCATTTCTCTCTTTGAGAGAGATCAGAAAAAAATTTATTAGAATTTTGCTGCTGAGAGTTTTCTGCTGGAAGAATACGTGAATACACCTAATGTTAGCTTGCTCGGCAATAGAGCTTTCAAAATAGTTGTATGAATCTTTGAGCCTTTCCCCCGACTTTCTTGAAAAAAAACTGCGCTAGGAGTGTACAAATATTTAATCATATCTCTAATGAATTTTCCTGAAGACTGAAAGATTTTTTTACCAATATAAACTACTGTTTCAGTATTTTATGAAAAAAGCAGTAATTGTGGAAATGGTCTAAATTTCTGTACAAATCTTTGTAGTACGAATAATGTAGAAATGTACATACGTTCATTATAGTGTTTTTTTGGATAAGCTTTTGACGCGGTTTCCTTTGATATACAAATATATATACATTCATAAATGCATCATAATCAATCAAAGCCTGAATTTTAGATTTTTAGTTAGTTACTGCTTTTTGTATTTCAGCATTGATGTGAGATAGGGCCTTTCTTTATTAAGGTAACGATATGAATTACACAAACCGGATATCGAAGAAGACTTTTCACCTTTGTTTACTTTTTTCGGACCCCTAAATCTTCAGCAACTATCGACCTATTCTTACATAAGTTATAACGGTTTAAATTACATGAATTCATGTCCACTTACCTCGATTAAACTATCACTGCCCAAACAAACGGCAACACCGCCTTGTACTTTTTTGTCGCCCCTAGACGCTGACGAGTTTACACGCACATTTGCTGTCCCGCCGCTACCAGCATTCACGCGCGTTCCTACACTACCACCGCCTGCAGCTGTTGCTATTACAATTTCGTCCTCTTCGTCGTCGAAAGCGTGACCCACAGCCGTTGTACCAGTAGTTGCGACACGTTCTTCGTCGTCCGTATCGTCTGCCAAACCAATGCCCGCGGCTAAATTGAAATCATCTGAAGCGCCTGCATCCACATCCAATTGTTCTTGGAAACTTAAATCTAAATCTTGGGGTAATTTTGCATATTTGTTGTGACTTTTCATTTTCCAAATGCGAAGAGACGTTATGTTGATGTGCTGATTCTTATATTTTTATTTTTGTTGCTTTTTAAGCCAACGACAATGGTACGAAAGGGGGTCAGTTAAAACATAGATGAGTCATGCGTGCGGCAAGGACGTAAAACGTGGTAAATATAAGGTTATTAAAAGTAGTTTCTATTTTTAATTCTTATTTGAATAAAATTGCAGCGAAAATTCGGTTTTACGGTATTTCAAATGTTTTTAGTCACTTTTACTTTCCATAGCTTTTTTAATTATTTTTTGTATGTACATATGTTTTATTTATTATTTCGTTCAAAGGACACTCCGCTACTGGTTGCTTGTATTTTGGCATTCACTAGACGAATGACACCACGTCATGCCACTGGCATGGAGAATTGAGCACAATCGATTTTTCGTCGCGTTTAATTTGCGCTGTTTTTTACGTTTTTCACATTTGCTACTTATGTACACATGTACGTACATACACTATTCATATGTGTTAATTCTTCCATTTACTTTTATTCCAAATGGTAACTACGTAAATATGTATGAATGTTTCCATTTGAGCCGCCAACAGGTTACGCCACCACTCACTTCCCCCTCACTCCCACTATTTACCAATTCACAATGAAATTGGCAGCACTGCTTTTAATCCATCAAATGTTTTGGTTTTTGTAATTTTTTGTTTTTCGAATGTACGCCTACAGTGCCAAATGCTAAATTCTATCAATATGCGACAGCAGCGTTTCCGCCGGAAGAAATCGCCTCAGCGCTGTGGCGAAAACAATAGGTCGCGACAGCAACAAAAATCACAGGCGCCAGCGATTCAAGGACGCATAAGAGGTGACGCTGGCGTTGCACTAGCAAAAGTCAAACTACGAAATCTCAAATGCCATTACAGTGCAGCCATGTAGACAATGCTGTGGCAGTCACAATCGACGTCGCTGCGTACGTCGTCGCTGCACTTGCGGCAAGATTTCACGCCTCAGCGCTGCTCTAAAGCGATTAGGAAACTGCAAAGACGTTCACGTTCAGCAGCGTTGAATGGCACTGAGTAAATGAAGTACTACATACAAGTTGCACTCACGGAAATACTTTCACTGCCAAATGGGGAGTCGATGGGCGGTGATGTTATGGCGACACACAAAAATGTCAGCAGAAATTGGAGCAGTGCATTGCTGCGCGTGTAATTAAATGGAACGATGTCGGTATGAGCCGCATCACTTGTAACAAATCAATGTTTTATTTCGTTCAAACTTTTTTTCGCTACAAACCTTTTTCACGTCGGAAGTCTCTCATCCTCACTTGAATTCCACTTTGCAAGCGTACATTTTGTAAGAAAATTACTTATTAGTGCTCACACACCACTTTGTCTACTTGAAATAAATTTTTCTTCCAATTAGATTGGTCTCTTTATGTTTTTTTTTCACTTTGCCATTAAAATGGCTCCAGTCATACACTCACCAGCCACTCGACTCAACGTCTCAAACACATTTGACAACTGATTTGGCTTTGGCCAAAGCAGCGACAACAGCTCTTCAAGCTGTTGTTGCAGTTTCCTTTGCCGATTTTCCAACTAGAAATGTCAGATAAAAGCAATGAAAAAATACAAAGCTGTACAACAAAAGCAATCAGTTATTGTGGCAACAACGGTCGTCTCGTTTTCGCGCATGGCTTTTGCAACAATTCGTTGAATTTGCAACACCGTTGTTCTTATTGGATTTTCTTTTCATTTCACCTTGCTTTGTTATTGTATTTGTATTGTTATTGTTTGTAATAGATTTGAATGCAATTGTGCGCAGTTCTTATTTGAAGTATGGCATTGCCAGTACAAGAAATAACCGTTAGTTCTTACATGTATTAGTGTACATAGCTTTGAAATGGGCTTTTGAATTGAGTGGTGCCCTTGGAAAGAGCTGTAGCCTAACCAGACATACGTGATATGTAAGTATTTATTTGAGTTCTTGATTAAAAAGGCATTAAAAAGAGCATAGAAGTGGTGTGTAAGCAGTGCACGGTCTTTACGAATTTATTAGTAGATCTACCAACTATTTAACTATAATATATTTTCTAACATTTTTATCAACCAAGGCTTAAAATCTACCAATATTTTTCAGAAAGAAAGCAAAAATATTTAAATACATATTTTTCCATCGAAAAATTCATTGAATAAAACCGAAAATTCATATTTATTGGGTTTTAGACTCGCTGAACCCGAATCTGAGGTCCATTAACCTCCATAATGTCAGGCTCGATGTCATTTGAAGGTCAAATAGGACCAAAAATTTATTCAATAAAAAAAACAAATTGGTTTTGTTGTCGCTGAATCCGAATATGGGGGTCCCATAATTCCTCAAGGTCGTCTAGAGGTCATGCCACGTTCATCCCAAGTTTAAATTCAAAAAATATGTACTGAATTTTCAGGTTTATTCAATGAATTTTCCCGTACTTGACCTTCAACTGACCACGAACTTGACGTGATGGAGGCTAACGGACCTCGGATTCGCATTCAGCGTGTCGAATAATAAAGGCCTATACAGGTTTGGTTTAATATGCATACACTTTTGACGTAGAATACGTCTTACGTTTCGATATGGAGACTATGCTCAAATGTTGTAGTTGTAATTTTTAGAGCTTCACGAAAACGCTTATTGCACGAGAACTAGTCAAGCGATTTCAAAGAAAAGTGTGGCGTTTCAAAGCGAAAATTCCAAACCCATCGACATATAGGCTTATTTTGGGGTCAATTTTGAGCCTTTAAAGTGCTCTAGCAAATTATGCTTTCCAGATACAACCTTCATTTTCGGGATATAGGTTCTTTGGAGTAATGTAAATATTATCGTGTACAAATTTTATATAAATTCAACAAATATCGAGCATTTAAAGGCAAAAAGGCTCGAAAATCGCTCGAATGATTTTGTTTTTGTTTTCTTTAATCAAAAATTTAGGTGTTTTGCCTTCGTCTGGTATATGGGATGTATTGGTTGATATCTTCTAAGTATGTTTATTTTATTCAAATATATGGGCATAAATGCTTTTCCATGCAAAAGCACTTCGTCATCATTTTACAAACACGTGCATGGGAAGAACAGTTAAGCAGTGTCAAAAAGAGACCAAAAACAAATGGCGCAATTGAAAGGACATATGTATTTACAAGATGATCGCAGCATATATGTACATATGTATACATAGCAACCTATTAATATACATACATATTATATAAATGCACATACATACAGATGCGTGCAAGTAATTAGCAACGAAATTCAAAACGATATTGCTTGCAAATTATGTTTATTTATTTATTTTTAATAATTTTCATTTAAAATATATTTCAATCTATTTCAGAAACCACAATAACAAAAGTTGCAAAGCTTGCACAAATTGCAAAAAAATTAATCAAACTTCAAAAAATTGTCATATAAATTTCAAAATTTTTAATTAGAATATTTATGCATATATGGGTATGCAGTTTTGTAGCCCATTCAATTTTAGTATAATAAAGTGCAAGTTTCAAGTCGCTAAAAATTACCGTTGATTTTTTAGAATTTTTTTTGTGGAGGGTGTTGCGCATTTTCTTCCATATAACACATGATCAAAATATTTTTTTACAAGGTCTAGACGCTGAACGCATGCCTACAGAAAGTTATTAGATAAGCCTTAATATACATATGGGTTCAGCTGTTTACATCTTTAGAAATTCAAGTAGCTTTTCTTGGGAGACAAAATCTTGGGATAGAGAAATAATAGCAGATAATCAGCTTCATTGTGTAAGTCGTAAATTAGGCTAAATTGCACGACTCAAGAACATTGGCATTGTCTACTGTCGTGCTGAAACAAGTAAACGACGAAAATTGTCGAAAACTATGCAGTGCTGCCAAGCTTTTCTCTTTTAATAAACTAGTCGAGTCGAAATTTTAGGCAATGACATGAAATTTTCGATACTATTCGACTCTCGAAAAACGACTTGCGTTCGACACGACTCTCACAATAAGGTTGAATAATCTTCCAACTTTACGAGAGAGAGAGGTCTACTCAAATCATCGTTTGGCTTCCGAAGTTGTGAAGCGCTTTACCGTCTCAATTTAATAATCTGGTATTCAAGCAACTTCATATAAACCTTTTTACCTTTAATTTATTGTCCATCCACATAATCGCTGGATGTCTCCTTCAAAAAAGGTACTTCCGATAAAGAATCAGTACAAGTTTATATTATTGAACGGCACTACTAATCTTAGTTACAATCCGTTAGGTTAACAAATGTTGACGTCAAGCTCAGCTTATGGTAAGCACAGGAAGCGTGCTGGCTCGACGGGTTACACAAAAGATAGAGAGCTGTTAGCTGAGAAGGATTGAGCTGACATGTGAAGAGGTAGTTGGTGTCATGGGGTGGTGTCTCCACATGTCAGACACTCATTTTGGATATCTAGATCGAGTCTAGATAAGTAGCTGCTTAGGCGGCTACTATATCCAGACCCTAGTTGGACAAAAGCTGTGTCCTTTAGTGACGATATCCGTTGTGTGAAAGGACACAACGCTGTGAGACGCCTTGTTTAGTTCTTGGTGGCTTTTATGGGAGAGCGTAAGTCAAAGGTGTCGGAAGGATTTCGACACTTGAGCGCCTTGTTGAGGTAGTGTACGCGAGCCAGACCCCAGAATTTTCGACATCAGCACGCATATAATGTCCGGGATATTGGCTTTCAGAACTTTGGCCTTTCCGTTAGCTATTTGAACTTCGCAGCTTGGGGAGATAAGAAAGGCACTCGTTTCTGGTAGTGTGTGCAGCCCTCTAATACCTTATTGCCGGCTTAAATAGCCCTTCGAGTGGAACTCCATACCAAGCTTTTGGGGCATCCGGAACTTTTCAAGCTCTTAGCACTCTCTTCAGATAAGGGGTTTGAAATATGACCTGAGCGCCGAAATTTCCACTCTATCGTCGCGCTTGACCAAAACTTACCCTCAGCAGAGGTGGAGTTACAGGTCTTACGGTGCTCTTGCCGCCTTTTCAGCTTGTGTTTGGTGACGAATCCCCGAATTGAGATCACTAAAAAGGAAATCTCAACAATGGTCATGCTCATTCACTAGTACAGAAGCTTCAGCTGAGACATAAGGGCGGATTTCCCGACGAGATAAGTGAGCTGGGTGTTAATAAATATTAATTACTTACCAATTTTTATTACTCGAACGAGGTAGTTGAACCATTTTCTAAAACTGCTTCGCTATGTTCATACATACATGCATACCTTCAATAAAAGCATTTTACAGTATTTTTTGTTTTCGGAAAGTAATAGACTTTTTTAGAAGAATTTATTTGCTGTATTTTTGTCGTTATCAGCTTCAGAATTTAGTTGATAATTTGTTTTTCTTTTTTATCTTCTCTTGTGTTGTTGGTTTGTTGTTTTAAAAGTTTTGCTTAGATTAATAATCTTATAAAGGAAAGCATCGTTATAGCTACCACCAGTCATACTTTTGTTTTCTTTCACATCGAAAGATTTTTTTGCACAATATTGGAGTTCAGTTTCAAGAGTTTTACATAGATTGTTATCATGTTCACTGCTGAATTTAAATGAGTTGTAGTTAAATGTAGTAATTTGTAATGGGATTTTCACGAGTATATAAAGAAAATGTTTATGAACGTAAATACTGCATTTGTATTATGCTTTTTATGAGCACGTTTTGTAATACAATGATTTAAAATTTTTTATAAGCATGTATTCGCTTTTTTTTTTGTGTAAATTTCTGCTGATCTCACATCACCATATTTTAACTATATAATAGTAAAGTGTAGATGTAAATATAAATACTGTCAACTTAGCAATAGAAACACGCAATATTTTCATAAATATCATTAGCATTATACAAATTTGCACATACATTCTTGCTGCATGTACTTAATAGATGCATGTGCATGCAGTATGCTCGTATGTATCTATATAGTACAATTAGAACTTATGTAGACTTATTGGTTAATTGTTTTATTTTTTTAACATATTATAGAGCTAGTGCATATGTTAATGTCAAATTATAAAAACATACAAGGTTGTACAGTAAATCCTTTTGATGTTAAACCTAAAAGTTGTCAATTTTAAATTGAAATAATTTTAAAATAAAAAATAAAGAAATAAAAATAAAAACTAGGAACTATAAATTAAAACTAAAATAAAAACAGAAAAAGAAAAAATAGAAGGTAAAAAGTGACGAAATTTAAATAAATTTTACGGAGGTTTGAAATGATTTTTTGTTTACTGCTTGTTTCTTTTGTATACGATAAATTACTAAATGCATTAAGTACAATTACTGGCAATCCCAGAAAGTTACGTCGTTTATTATTTAAGTAGTACGCTAATTGTAAAATTTTATTGACTTTTGAAGCCAACAAAATTTTTCTCAAATTAATATTTTTGTATGTTACTTTGCTACCTTACTATTTGTTTGTGGTTTGTTTGTTGTTATCTTATGTGCTTAAAAATATATGTAACTAGACTTAGAATATGTTAAAAACGTTTCGAAAATATCAAAGTAGGTATCAAAAAATGGCAAGCGTTCTGCAACAAATGCTAGA